AAAAAAAAAAAAAAAAAAAAAATAACCTCTATATTGAGTTCTCATGTAGTTCTTTTTTAAATTTTCTGTACATATATTTATTTTCGATTTAACTGTTACTGCAGAAATATTGAATGGGGATGAACAAATAAAAACTGATGCTATACGGATAGGCCATTACACTGATGGGCAATTTCCAACAGACAGCAAAGAGTTTGCCAGACGTATATTCTACACAGTTTTCATGGGATCTGAAAATAGGTGAGAATGTGATGAATATCGACTATGTATAACTTCACATGCACTTAAATACTTAGCTCCCATGAACGTCAAAACTTCCAAATCTTTCCAGTTAAACATTTGCTGAATCCGTATAAGAATCAACAACCTAGTTGTTACATATTAATTTACAGTACTATTTATTTTTATTGGCCTGAAATAGTAGGGGAAATAATTTCAACTTTCACTGAAACTAGGTCAGCGCAGCAGCAACTTTCCAGTATCCATTTTGAAAGTGTCCATTACGTATCAATATATTATCTATGGATAAATCTGAGGTTTAATTGTTTGTTAGAAAGGAATATCAGTCGATGTTTTTCTATTATATATCATCTGTGGAAAATGTGCATTAGGTAGCTGATGCAAATCATCTGCAGTTTGTATAGACGGGTTCACAAAGCTACAAAATAAACGTATTTAGTTGCATTGACAAGGCATTTCTAGCTTCTGTCTTAGTAATAAGTTGAATAAAGAAGAATATTTGCAATATCCAGTAGAAACTGTATAATGCTCAGTTATCTGCATCAAAAGCCCTTAATAAAAAAATGTCAGTTAGAGAAAGATTTTTTTCTTATTTCCTCTTCTTCTTCAATATTTTTAAGTAAATGAATGCGAGTAGTTAATTTTGTGTTTTGCTACAAGAAATGTTCAGTTCTTACCCGTGTGCCCCTCGAGTGGATATAGATCAAACCTGAAGTGTGAGTGATCTTAATATTTTATTGAGACAGTGTTCCTTGTGCCGTCAATTGTAACAGTTTGTCTCTTATAGTTCTACTGCCACAAGAACCAGAGCAAAAGTGCTTTCTGAGGAAATGGGGTCATGGCATCTTGATATCTCAATAGATGGAGTGGTTTCTGCCCTTCTCTCTTTGTTTCAGACTCTCACTGGAAAACGACCACGCTACAAGGTGAATGGCTTATATACTCGTCGAGTGCACTAGTCTCTCTGCGAATGAATGAGATTGGGATATTTTTTGTTCCTATATTACATGGAACTTTTATACTATTAAGTTGTTGAGTTGATGATCTTCTATCAGGTTGATGGGGGTTCAAACATTGAAAACTTAGGGTTGCAAAATATTCAGGCTCGAATAAGGATGGTCTTAGCATTCATGCTAGCATCACTCTTACCTTGGGTTCACAACAAATCAGGTTTTTATCTGGTCTTAGGAAGCTCAAATGTAGATGAAGGATTACGTGGTTACTTGACTAAGGTATTGTAGATGTTTTAGGTTTATCTTTGTTCGTGGCTGCATCATTAGTCTTCTCGAATTCTACAACTGCACGTCGAATTCATTTGATGCATGAAGACTTTCCAAAAAAAAATTCAACCCCGAAGTTCTATATATTTATAGCACTAGCTATTTCCAAACTGGCTGACTCCAATTCTTAATGTCCCTCCCTCTCACCCCCCTTAGCTTGTAATAATGATGATTGGTTAATATTTATTAATCTTTTTCTTTTTGCTGGGCAGTATGATTGCAGTTCGGCTGACATAAATCCAATTGGAAGCATTAGCAAACAGGATTTAAGAATATTTCTAAGATGGGCTGCTGTTCATCTGGGCTACTCATCTTTGGCAGATATTGAAGCTGCTCCCCCCACTGCCGAGCTGGAGCCAATACGATCTGATTACAACCAGGTATATAAGTGATCAAATTGATCCAATACTTATAGGAAATGTTAATAATTATTTTTGTGTGCCCGGGAAAATTAATTTGTATTGGAAACAGCTGGATGAAGTGGATATGGGAATGACATACGAAGAACTCTCTGTATATGGAAGGCTTCGTAAGATATTCCGCTGTGGACCTGTTTCCATGTTTAAGGTGAGTGTTTATTTTTGTTCAATAGCTCATATTCTTGTTTCTCGCTCGAGTTACTGTGCGATTTCTCCATATAAACAAGTCATCTGCTGTATGTAATAAAAAAACTGGGAAAATGTTGCATATTGCTTGCATGTAAGAGTGTCTAGCTCAAGTACTAAAAAAAAAAAAAAAAAAA